TACACACACTTTCGGTGTGACAGGGAAGGTGGTAAGGGAGGGGGTTGTCTCATGTACTTTCTGAATGCACTTACTGTATCACAGCTAGAGAGTAGTACACTTAACATGCCTGAGACACTATGGGTTAATGTACACCTAAATAACGTAACAGCATTAATTGGATGCACCTACAGAGCACCTGGCACCTTTAGTAATTATGAGACCCAAATTATTAATACTCTGGAGCAATTATCCGACTTACAACACGATCATAAGATCCTATGTGGGGACTTTAACTTACCTGAAATTAACTGGGATATACCCACAGGCCCAACTAAATTTGATAAGTTCTTAGACACACTGGACATACTTGGCTGGAAACAAACTGTCACTACTCCCACAAGAGGCAATAACGTACTGGACTTAATCTTCTGCCACAATATGAGCCCCCTTTCAACGCTAGTAGGTTCTGAGTTTCCAGGGAGCGACCACAAAACAGTGATATGTGCACTGCCACTTCCGCTGTGTAGCAATGCATCTCATACCTCCACTTCACAACAAGTAATATATAGGAACTATAGTAAGGCAAACTGGGCCTTGGTAGAATCAATGCTAAGATCCTCCGAATGGGATGAATACTTCACTACTGATGACCTCTCGAGAGCCCTAACCATCTTCTACCATAACACTAACACATGCTTAGATGCTGTCATTCCACTCCAAACACTAAAGGTTTCTCCACACAGAAAATCATTCATAAAACCAAAGGATCGTACGAAACTGAAGAGACTCTCAACAAGTTACTTCAAACACCACGACTTTGGCACTCTAGGTCTAATACTTAACACCCTTAGCTCCATCTCACAGGCACGAGATTTCCGTATGAGAAAGGAAGAACGCATCGCAGTAGCCAGTCCTGCTAGAGTGTATGCACTCACAGAAATCTTAAGGAAGCGAATGAATCGCAAAAATCACAGCATTTCTCTCCTCATAGACAAAGGTAGGCTATGCACTAACTCTGCAGACATATGTGAACTATTCAACAAAACGTTTGCAGGTAACTACCTTAAGCCCTCAGTCCAGCTAATCGATATACACCCTGTTACTGATATGACACAAACTCCATCTCCACTCACACCAAACCAAATTAGCACTGTTCAATTCACTTACGCCAATATTAACCAAACTATAAGAACCCTCAAAAGTTCAAAAGGTTTCGGTACCGACGGTATATCATCTTACTTCTATAAATATGGTGGCCCTGACATTCCTCTACTGCTGCTTAAAATATTCACAATGTCCCTAGAAACCCAAACTTACCCTGACATATGGAAGACAACATTCATTATGCCTAAACACAAATCTGGCTCGAAAACTGAAGTCAGTAACTACCGGCCAATCAATATCACACCTATAGCATCTAGAATCATGGAGAGACTAGTCAAAGATAACTTAATGAAACATATGCTTAGCCGCAATATTATAAGTCCGAACCAACATGGATTCCTGAAATCCAGATCATGTTTAACGTGTCACCTAGACTTCTTCAATTTCGTAACCAGCAGTCGTGACAGACGGCAACTAGTACTTGTCATCTACTTTGACATCTCTAAGGCATTTGACCGTGTTGACCATTTACTGCTAACAAATAAGCTGAACTCCCTAGGAATACGTGACCCATTATTAGGATGGCTTAAATCATTCCTTAACAACAGGTCCCAAATAGTTAAACTCGGGTCTGCAACCTCCAAACCTAGCCCTATCACTTCTGGTGTAGTACAAGGTAGTGTCATTGGACCCCTCCTATTTACACTATACATCAATGACATATGCGCTTGCTTCACGCACGGGAAACCATTCATCTTTGCAGATGACCTAAAAGTAGCTTATACATTCCAAAGTGATGACTTAGGGAACTTCGAGAATGTAGTGCAGAAGGAATTAGATAAAATGACTGCTTGGTCGTCCCTATGGAATCTCCAATTCAATCTGAACAAATGTGGCTGGATCTGCTTCGGCGCACCCTCAATTGACCTCAAATTAACGCTTCAATCTGCTAACCTAACCAGACTCCGAAGTGTCGTTGACCTAGGCCTGAGGTACTCTAGTGACTTGACATTCTCTGAGCAAGTAGCATCACAGACTAGAAAATCGAGGATGCTCTTAGGATGCATACTCAGGAACTTTCACGACAATGAAGCCAAGCTAATTCTGTACAAAACATGTGTCAGACCACTACTAGAATACTGTCCATTTATTATAAGCAGCACTCGCACACGTGATAAGCTAAGGATGGAAAGTATCCAACGATATTTTACCTCAAAACTACTTGGCTATGATTGTAAGAAAGACTACATCTCACGGTGCATGATCCTAAAACTCGACCCACTTTGGACAAGGCGACTTATTATAAACCTAATATTCTTCTTTAAGGTCCTCCACAAAATATCATTCTCAGGTAACAGGGACATACAATTCGCACAGGAAGGTTCTTACGATCTGCGTAACCAAACCTCCACAGTGACAACTCATTCTTTTAAGTCAACACTCCGTGAAAACTTCTTCACAGTCATGTATTCTAAAATATGGAATAGCCTACCCCTAGATGTCAGAACTTGCTCTTCGGTTACAAGCTTCAAACGCTCTCTGCATAGACTGTTTCACTCTACTGATTATATTAATAAACTATTTACTCCTAGAACGAATCAATTACTAATCTACTACAGCACCTAAAAAACGCACTTCAACACCCTTAGCAATCTAAAAACTATAAATAAACTAGCAGCATGGATGCATAAAGACTGAGTACGGAACATACAGGATTAGTTTACCCTTAGAAATAGGACGTGTCACTTTATTGTAACCTTCAAACGCTTGCTATATAAACTGTTTTATCCCAAAGACTATCCCTAACAAAACCCATTACTTACTTCCAAAACGCATCAGTCATTAGAACATTAAAACGCTCAGACTCATTAATACACATCATGACACTAAATAAACCCTAAGACTTCGCATATATTCGTGAAAAGACAACTAAAATACATATAACTTTTTACTAATGTACTGTACAATTAACAAACATTTATATATGCATTAATGTCCTTTTAATGTTTACATACTTTTCCTTTTTGGTACTCTGCTACTCCTATTCATCTTCTGGTCGAGGTCGAACAACCCTGCATCTAAACTGAAATGAGGATTAATTCCAAACCATCTATCTCATAACCACCCAAATTCCATGAACGATCCAATTCTACCATTTGAAGACGCTGGCGAACATGCTGTAAATGAGTATTCATGATCTGAAATGAAGAAGCAACTGGTTTTCAATCAGTTTTCAACATTTTACTCAACTTACGAATACAGTCCGCCATGCAGACACAAATGGAGCAAATGGAGGATTCTGGAATCGACCTCGGCACCATTTGATGCAGTAAAACAACTTAACATGACCTCATCTAGTTTCCGCATCCGCGATCAAATTTCTTTCCTGTTATAAAACAAAGATAAGTCTACTGAAAAAATGGAATAAATATATCACTGATCTCAACATAATACATCAATAAACTTTAAGCCAAGGGTGCTGTTCACAACAAAGTTATATAAGAGAATTGACTTCAAGCTTTTTTTCCCAGATATCCGTATTACATTCATCTGATGTCTGGGTTTTTTTTAATGCGAAGACAATATTTCTATATCTCTTTATGTGCTAAACAAACAGACTATATAGCAGACTGTTCCGACTGACTCTCATGTCAGAACAACCAAACTGTAAATTCATCATACCTCAAATTATGTGTAATTTATATAATAACTTATCCATGCCTGTACAATTGGTATGTTCCTGCATAAACAGGAAGAAATATATATATATAAGTAGTCTCCTCTTCAGCCTTCGATCAGCAGTGCGTGTCATTATTTGAGAGGAAAGGAGTCAGGATCTCGTGCGTCCATTGACTACCACACATACTCGCCCCAATGAAGCCTCTCCCACCTTGCTGTCCCCTACAAGCTGCTGCAGGCCAAGTAAGAGCTGTCATTGGTATCTATCTCACATGTTCCCCTTCGAAGCAAACATTGTATACTGCGGTTTTCTGATTAGGAGGGGTGCCTTATCACCTCTCACTTAGCCACTGAATATGGCTGCTCGTTTCTGGGGGTTAAGCATGAAGTTCCACACCTCCTTGCTAACCTCATAAGGCAACGAAGAATGCAAGTCACTATACCTGGTGGTTTCGGATCCAACACCGTAAAGATGAAAGTAGTGCTGTAGTTGGGTGAACCATAGTTCCGGGTCATGTCGATCGAATTTGTGTAACCTGACTTTGGTGGTTAATGAAGAATCCACCTTCGCAGAAGCAGATTCTTTAAAGTCAATTTGTGATTGGCGAATGAAGCATCGTAATGAATAAAAAATATTGAACAAAACGATGTGTCCTGGAGAAAAAATGAATAGAAAATCAAAACAAGTGATTCAGCGAAGAGACTTTTTCGTTGAAAAGAGTAGTTATTGTGGTAAGTTAGATGACTGCTGCGTACCAAAAACACAACAATAAAAACTTGGCAACAGAATCTTTAGCAAAAGTACCTTAGAATACATATATCAACGTTGAACTTACGAAATGCAAACTGAGTTCCCCACTGATCGGCACAAAGTTGCACACAGAGATACTAATTTTAAAACACGACTTGTAGAAGAGATATAATGCACGCTGGTTCACTTATATTCTTGATAATCAACTTATCATTACTCGCTGAAGATCTAGAATTTTGACGAGGCAAGCATACCTACTTCTGAGGATGGAATAAGTGTCACTTAAATCCCCTGAACTTTCGAAAATACTCACTTAGAATAAAAGACCTTATGCAAGACCGACGCCAACACCGTTAAGATATCAGCCTCTACCATGAAGATGTCTGAAAAAATTAGGCGTTTTTAGATATGCATTCAGCGCAGGCGTAAACACAGAATCTCATTTCCTTTCATTTCACTATATTGTTGGATAGCGGACCCTCCTAAAATGGAGGGATTTCAAAATAACGTGTTCATCTCAAGGTCAGGTTAGTTTAGCATCTGGAAAGAAGCTACAGTCAGTTTCTAGGTCATGATGAGTTCCTGCGCCGGCTAGTTATATGTTTTCGTGAATTCGTTTTCCATTGAATTTTAAAGGTTTTTCTGGTTGTTTTGCTCATTTTGCAGTGTGTAGGTCAGTTTTTGTCACTGGGTGCTACTAATTAGCTTATTTTTAGCCTGAAGTTCACAGTTATTATGTTGGTAGTCAAAGATTATTGTAAACCTGCAATCATTGAGCTAATTAACGTATACTATGCTAACATAGTAACATAGACTATGCTAGTAATAGTAACATTAAAAAAAAAAACTGTTTTGCCATTGTTTGACAGTGAAACTGTGCGCTGATTTTTCAGCATGAGTGGCACTAAATCGAACCTACTGGGTCTGCTTATCAACTTTGTTCCAGCCCTCACAGGACATATTGAGCATGGACTAGCGTTTCTCCTTAGCGGAAAGTTTCGATTCAGCACGCAGCTGTCTTTTTAAGCACGACCTATGTCATTTCAGAACATAGTGGGTAAATATGTTCTTCAGTTACCATAAAAAGGCATTATCGAGGAATAAGTTAGAATAAATTTAGAATTGTTTTAAGCTTGGTGGTGCTGCGGTCTAAGTGATAAATCGTATTAATCACCGTTATTCAGGATATGCTATGAACCGGAAATCCTCAGCTGAAAAACGTATGAATAAGACACAGATCGGTGTAATTTATAACTGACTCCAAATTGCTTTCATCACGAAATCATCAACCAAGGTATGCTTTAAACTGTCGCTCTCAGCCGTTTGAAGGGAAATTTACTTGATTTATGCTGACCTAGTATGCACAAATCCCACATGTCATTGAATTGACGACTTAAAAAAGTAGATTAGTTAATACATACATTTATCTATATGTACTAATTAGGGAAACATTAAATTTTTAGAAATTGTAGTTAAATTATATTCGCCTAGTAATAAAAAATGCATACATCCTATTTTGGACTTAAAATAAATGCATCAAAATTATTGTTGATTTATATTCACTTTCTGGACATTCTCATACATCTCAACATACTTAAAACATCAACAATGCATCCAAATAGCGTGTGACTGTCACACTACACTCACACCAAAAAAATTAACACGCCATTATACTATGGTAAGGTAAGCCCGAAATTTTACTGACTGTAAATTTCCGTGTAAAAATAAAGAGATTGGCGCTTTAATTTATATTTTAGACCAATAAAAAGCCAGCTAGCCAACAGCCAATAAAAAACTGCCTATATCTATTTTCTAGCATCTGTAGGAGAACAAAGTGTGATAGTGAGTTTATGTGTATGGCGTGAGATTAGCACGGAAGATCTTATTGGCGAGATTTGAATGTCTCAGCAACTGAAATGACTGGGCCATGTGTTACACGAATCTATAGTCCTGTACCAATCTCAGTCAGAGAATACATTTGGGCAATGTGGGCTAAACCGGTAGTTTTGATCGGCAAAGGCGTGGACAGAAGGGGGTTAAAATGCTCCATTATTAACCATTATTATTTGTTCATGTCCCGAAAATTTTATCGTCCAACTTTTCAAATTTTACCCATGTTACAACCGAAAACAGTCCACTTTGCTCAGTTTCGACCGGAAAACTGCCCACATGTTTACTCATATATCCTAGGCAAGTATGAAAAATCTCTGACTTTAGTCCAGAGAGGGAATGCATCACATCAACAAAAGAAACAGCTACCACGAGGATCAGGCCATACATCGAATACCATTACTCTGAATAAGTAAACATACAGGTATTAGTGTCATCACTCAGATTGGGATAGTTGTGCTAGCAGGCTCTGGTGGTCTGTATTAATTCCTGCGGCATATACGTCTGAAGATAAACCAGCTGGTGTTACTTCCAAGGCCATGCACAGCGTGTCCATTGAGGAGTGGCTTGTAGTTGAGCCGAGAGCAAAGCATTTGTCAGTTTACTCCGACTCTGGTGCAGACGAGATTTTCGACTATCGACCAAAGGGCGGGTGTACTGCTCATCAGTCCGCTCCGTCCTCTTTTATGGCTGTGAGTGAGACCTGGCCACTGAGAGTGGAAGACATGAAGAGATTATCTGTCTTTGATCATAGGTGCCTGCGTTATATCTCCCGTATGAAGTTGCATAATAAGGTGAGCAACATTGAAGTTAGGCCTCGGTCGAGTTCTAGGTAAACAGGGGAAATCAATCGACGAAGTCGTGAAGTTACGAAGACTGAGATGGTTAGGACATGTGTTACGTATGCCAAGTCATCGCCTCCCTCGACGAGCAATGTTAGCTGACATAGAGTCAGGCTGGAAAAGAGCTAGCTAATGGTGGTCAAACCAAAACATAGCTTGATCAGTCAATGAAATCCACATCAGTTGGTCTAAGCCAGTCACGTAGGAAGGTGTAGACTTCCTGACTGGTTGGGGTCCTCGGGACGGTAAAAATCTATGGTAGGGAACAATTGGTGACATTGCTCAAAATCGTTCTCAGTGGCCAGCGCATATGCATCCACTCCTTGTGACTTATGATCTCCAATGAAACTCTTTTGTTCTTCGTTATTAGTCCTCCTTTGTCTCACACCTCTGCTTTCTGTCTCTATTATGCTTTTCTTGTACTTTCTTCTCTAGTTTCGCGTGCTATACGGAATGTGGCGACTTGAACTAGCGCACATTTTTGCAAAGTTCTATGTCGAAAACAGACAGAAGGTGACAGACAACGTTAGAAGTAGTTAGAGTAGAAAGAGAGAGTATAAAAGACGGATTAAGAGTATTAACATCATAAGAGGTAAAACCATTACATGGCTTACTATTGGCAGTAATTTCAGTGACAAGTTTCCACATGCTGATAAGAGATTTGCATGATAAAAGTGTATGGTTATAGATAACATTACGATTTTTGATTTCAGATTTGATTTGAGCATTAATCTTTTTAAGTCCTTACTTATCTTTGAATTTATATGTTTCCTTTCGCCTGAGAAATTGTTTGAGACCAGAAGCGGCCGAGGGGTTTGAATGGTGTTTGTTTCGGACATCATATATCAAGGCAGAACTCAAGATTAGTCGTTATATTAGCGATTGTGTCATCTAATGTACTTTCATAGAATAAATCCCAGTTAGTATTTTTTAACATGCACCTTAGATTGAGTAAGTTGTCAAATGTGTAGCATCTTTGTTGTGCTTTCATAGACAGGTGTGAGAAGACTTTAATATGTGCTTTGTTATATATTTTCGGTAAAACACGGACAATGCAGTGATCAGAGTTGAGTATCGGTGCACGTTCACGTGTTTCATATACTCCTTCGTCATTAGTAAGAACTAAATCGAGTGTTTTGTCAAGTCGAGTGGGAAATTTGACTATATTTCTATGACCAAGTTCTTCAAGGAAGGAGAAATCTGAGAAGTTGAAATCCCCAGTAATAATTGATAGAGAGTTGTCGAAGTTGGCAGCGGTAAATATACTGAATTCCTCAGCAAAATTTCAAAGATCAGATAACGAGCAACTGGGAGAAATGTACATCTTTGTAACAAAGATATGTTTATATATGGGGAAATGTGTGGGACGACATTTGACAGTAATACAGTCTATGGAGTCCTTTGACAACGAGAAGCAAACATTATTTGAAATAGACCATTTGGAGTGGATAAAAGTTGCCACTACACCACCACTTTTCTTATCACAACATTGACGGTCTTGTCGAAACAAAATGAAGTCCTTTAGTGAGATAAGATTCTCATCATACAGTTCATGTAACCACGTTTCTTGTAATATGATTATGGCAGTGTTATGATAAGTGTCAGTGGACATCAGAGATTGTAGGTACATTATCTTGTTAGGCAGAGAGCATCAGTTTGTGTTCATTATGACAGGGACCGTAGTTAAGTGCATTGATGTACGTTCAAGAGCTCTCTGCCAACCACTGCGATGCTTCCTCCTTGATTTCTTTTGAATATGAAAGTCATTTGGTCGTAAATGATTAATAAAGTTACGAGAGTAAATGATCCTGTTAGAATTCATATTTAGGTGATAAATAAATGTGAGTAAACGGTAGATTGGATGCAATATGTAGATATCATAGTAGCTGGCCCAGAAATTCGAACAGGCCACCAAGGTCCCACCTTTGGCTTTTGTGGCCTGATTCTATAGCGTGTAGACGAGCTATGGCTGATGATTTTTCAAGCTTTTCTAGTTCAACCGGATTTCTCGGTGGTCGAGCGGATGCTATGCGGTGTTCATTTCTTCTGATTTTGATTTCTCGAGATGTTTGTCCGATGTATATCGCATCACATTCCAAGGATTTTATTTTGTAGACACAATTAGATAGAGAATCTTTAGGCATTCAGTCTTTTATATGGACAAGGTTGTTTCTCAGTGTGTCTGATGTTTTGAAGAAAACTCTGATGTCGAGCTTATTGAGTACTCTTCTGATATTGTCTGACGTCTCTGCTCTATATGGAATGATAATAGTTGAGGTCCATGTTTTCCAAATACGTTCGCGACCATACTTGATGTCAGTGTTGATTTTGTTGATGAAGTTCGTTGGGTAGTTGTTTCGCTTGAGAGTTTCAGTAATGTTTGACATTTCTTCTTTCCTTCCTTTCTTATCCGTTATCAATCAGAGAGTGTGCTCGTCTAAGAAGACTTGAAACAACTGAAATTTTTACGCTGATGGGGTGTGATGATCTGAATTCTAAATATATATTCGGGTAGTTTTTCTTACTGAATATAGTATATACTAAAATGTCCGCTTCCCCTCCTCTTAAACTAGTCATTCAGTCTAGAAATGGTAGTTCACCGACGTCTGATTCTGCCTGCTTCCGAAGTAAACTGGATTCTGGGAGATAGACAGTTTATTTTCTCCAGGAATGAACTGTGTAGATGTCGCTAGTTTTATCACTACAAAAGTATCATCTACATATCTTAACCATATTTTGGGAGTGAATATTCTTGAAAAGATGTTATTTTCGAATCTATTCATGAAAAGGTCAGC